AAATAACGGTGCCCTGGTGGCACAGTGGTTAAAAGCTCAGACTGCTAACCAAAAGATCTGCAGTTCAAATCCACCAGCCACTCCTTGGAAACCCTAAGGGGCAGTTCTACTCTGTCTTATAGGGTCACTGAGTCAGAATCGACTTGACAGCAGCGGGTTTGGTTTTAATGGGTATAGACAATAATTATCAACAATTAAGTGAAAGGCTGATGAGTAATTAGCCTTATTATGGATGAGTGAGGCTATCAACAGGAAATAACTGATTGAGTCCCTCCCTAAGCAGTGCAAACTGTTAGCCCACTTGGCTGCTAACCCACAGGTTGGAGGTCTGAGTTCATCTAGAGGTGCCTCTAAAGAAGCTCTCGGGATCTATTTCAGAAAAATCTGCCACTGATAACCCTATGCAGCATGGTTCTACTCCGACACACATGGGATGGCCATGAGTCCGAATCGACTTGAGGGCAATCGGTATTGTGATATAGTAAGAAATGTAAAATACCATCATGGTTCCTTGCCACAAATAAATAAATAAATACATCTTAACTCAACCAAAGGCTAGAAAGGGGTAATTCTGCCATGTGTACCCAAGTAAAGCCTATCAAGGATATATTAAGTAGGAGAGATCCTTTTGGGGGCTTCTACTAGATGGAGTAAGGGTAAAGACTACAGGCTCTAAACCACTTTTAAAAAAAACAACCAACCAACCAACCAAACCTGTTGCCTTAGAGTCCATTCCGACTCATGGGGAAAAGTGGAAATGTAGGAATAATGGCAATTAGCAAACTAAAGGAATGAAAGGGGGTTTGGGAACAAGAGAGCTAATTTTCCCTTGTATTACCCAAATGACCCCTCTTCTCAGACAGTACTCCTTCTGTCTGCAAAGAGGGCTTCCAAAATGGCCATGAGAAAAATCAGCAACAAAACCACAAAATCACAGAGGATTTTTGGGATGGAGTAGAGCTGGGAGGCAAGGAGACGAGAGTTACATAGAAAGTATTGTAGAACTTCCAGAGCAAAACATTTTCATGGACTGATTAGATGTTCACAAGGAAAAACTATACCAGTTCGAAAAAAAAACTATACAAGTTTGTAAGCGATTTAAAATGTTTTGACTGAACCACTGAAAAGAACACAATAGGCCCCCAAATGAAACTGTTAGTTGTAATTACCTTGCTTGAGGGTTGGAGCCTGCAGCATTTGCTTGTAATAGGAGTAATACAGCCCACATTCCGTTCTGAATGAGATTTCTCGTTCCACTTCCTGAAATAAAGTTAGGCTTTGTTTAAATATCTATCATCACTATAGAACTAAGATACAGAAACAAAAACTTAAAAAAAGAAAACACTCTGAAAATATAGTTTGAATAAATCTTGCCAAACAAGAACAAAAGAAGGTTGATAATTGTTGAAGCTGAGTGTTGGGTAAAAAAAACCAAAAACAAACCCATTGCCGTTGAGTCGATTCCGACTCATAGCAACTCTACAGGACAGAGTAGAACTGCCCCATAGGGTTTCCAAGGCTGTTATCTTTCCAGAAGCAGACTGCCACATCTTTCTCCCATGGAGCAGCTTGTGGGTTCCAACCTCCAACCTCTCAGTTAGCAGCCAAGTGCTTAACCAGTGCACGACCAGGGACCATGGGGGTTTAATTATACTATTCTCCAGGGACCATGGGGGTTTATTATACTATTCTCTCTACTGTCAAACAAGAAAAATAAATAACAGACATCTTACTTTGATTTTAAGGCTATTTTTCTTACCCACAAAACCAAATATTAACGTAAAAAAGGCTGACCCAAACTGCAAATGCACTGAACACCTCCCCCACCTCCCACCCCCCACTTCAAGAAGCTGCTCTATAGTAATGTAAATGTAAATTTGTCTTTTCCTGCTAGAAAAGGGTAGTCAACAAAACCATTACCATGTGATTAAATGAAAAAGACTGTTGTTAGGTGCCATCAAGTGGGTTCCGACTCATAGCAACCCTGTGTACAACAGAACAAAACACTGCCTGGTCCTGTGCCATCCTCACAATCAATGCTATGTCTGAGCCCACTGTTGCAATGTGTCAATCCATCTCACTGAGGGTCTTCCTCTTTTTCACTGACCCTCTACGTTACCAAGCATGACATCCTTCTCCAGGGACTAGTCCCTCCTGATAAACATGTCCGAAGTACGTGAGATGAAGTCTCACCATCCTTGCTTCAAAGGAGCATTCTGGCTGTAACTTCTTCCAAGACAGATTTATTCATTCTTCTGGCAGTTCATGGTACATTCAATATTCTACGCCTTCTTAATTTTAAATTTCAAAAGGTCTCATGGCTGCAGGTGGGTAGAGGGCCACATTTTTTAGCAGCCAGGCCAGAGACCACCTTGTGGCCTGTATCAGTTGATCTCAGTAAGGGGGTCGGGCAGGGTTAACTCAGTCATGTTAAGATTAGCCAATGGCTGATCTTCCATTCTTCTCCCTCCTCTTCTCTTTATAAGCCTCGTTATAACTAGCCTACCAAGCCATTTGTTTTTTTTAAGAATCAGAATGGTGTCCCTATTATTTATATAAAATCACTGCTCAGAATAAATCATGAGTTTCAATTTCTTTGAGTTTTTACTAATTTTAACACTTTTATAGATGTTTAAAAATTTCTATAATAATTCATTAAAAAAATTAAAACAACTAGTTCCATTTAAGTTGATGCTTCAGAGTGTTTTTCTTTTATTTCATACAAATTTAAACTTAAAAAAAATCATTCTCATGTAATAAGTGATACAAAATACAGAAAGTCTAAAAAACTTCTCAAATTAAAAGAACTATAATAGTATTAGACATCAGCCTAAAAGCTAACATTATATGAAATCAATGTTTTGTCTTTTTATTCTGAGACTACAAGGCATTCTTAGCAAAATAGAGCAGACTCTTTACAAATGAATTTTACTTAGACAATATAATCTTGGTGGAAAGATGTTTATGTAGGTAAATGAATACATGAATTATTAAACTACTTTTAGAAAAACAGTCAAACTCAGAAGAATTGAAAATGGAAAGCAGTATCTATTAATCAATTTGATTGTAAGATGCTTTTATTAAATTTAAATTTTAACTCAATATAAAATATGGAGGCAGCTGCTAATGAGGATTGGGAAGATTTTCAGGAAAAATTCTATCGATACCCTTAGACCCTGTATTTCATATACATGCAACCGTATAAGTGAACAAAAAGTTATAATTTATGTCATTACAGATTCTTTTACCTCAGTGTTCAAAAAACCAGGTCCTAGAATTTGCAACATATTCTCCTAAAATGTAATTTCATCCGCCTATCATAAACCCAACTAAACTGGGGGAAGGTGACAAACAGACAGCATCTCACTTCCTAGCTGGTGAACTTCTTTTAGCGCATCTTTGTTCTCCCCTATCTCCAACTATTTTTCGAACAGTAATAAACATTTCATTAAAAACAAAAAACAAACTCAGATGCTGTTTATCTTTAGACCTGGCAATTATTTAATGTACTTCTCTTACCCTTCAAATATGTAAGAGAAAAAGGGCATTATAAATCCATTCATGAATAAATTATTGAAGAAATACTCTCTTAAATATCTAAGAATGTAAACATCAAATTATTGATCCCCCAAAGAAACTATTATGTTTTATCCTTGTTAACAAACTCTCTTTAGAAAAACAAGAAGGGTAGCAAACCTTCTTATATATACTGAACTTCCTTTCACAGAAAATAAATTTATACTGGGGAACCAAGCAAGAAAGAAGGCCCAATAAGATTCTGGAAATTAATCTCATTAGCACATTTGCTTTAGGAAAAAAACAATATAGAATGGTGTGGGTTTCCTAGTTTTTACAAGTGCTACTGGTATTGTATCTTTCATAGCAGTAACAGCAACTCTTCTTAGCAGTCATGTTAATCTCCTCGTTTTCAATCTTTGAGAAAAATTGCTCTATTGCTTTTGATAACATAAAGCCAAACCGGAATCACTCATTTCTAGAAAGTCAAACCCCTAGTAGGTCAAATAACTGTAGAGTCTATGAATTGAAGACAACTGGGTAAATGTTAACTGTTGCTCAAGCAAATAAGAAAGGAAAAACCATTAAGTTTAATCATGTTCCTTTTCTTCTCTCCTGCTATCTTCAAGTGTCCGAGGTACTAAATGGAGGATATTGAGTGGGACATCTTAACATCAAATCTACATTCCAAATCAACCCAGAGAGTCAAATCAGTCATCCACATGTATGAGCTTCATTTCCAACATGGTTCTAAGAATAAAAGAAGACTGACTTTTTAAAGATGGGCATTAAAAAAAAAAAAAAAAAAAAAAAAGACATCCCTCAAAGTATTAAAGGTAGAAAGCTTCTGTGCCCCACCCTTCTCTTTAATACACCCAAAATGTATAAACAATGGGGGGAGGGGGGGCTAATTAGTAAAAGTGCATTCAAACATGATTCATTGGTAATCCTGGCACCAGCTGTATAGAACCAAATGCTATACTTTATTATCAGACAGACACAAGTTTTACATCTGCTTCGTGCTAAGAGAACATCTGCTTGACTCATTCAAACACTTTTCCAGTTTTACAGCAATTTATACTTTGCCTGGTGGATCATGCCAATGAAAATACACACCAATAGAAGTTACCCTCTAAAGAACGCAAAACAAATACTCCACATTTAAATCTGCAGAGGTTCTACAGTGAAAGCAATGTATGTTAAGACAATGCACACAATTTCTCTGAAGATGACAGAAAAAGGTGGAAAGACAGAAGAACTGCATTTTTAAAGAATCGTACAGCTAAAACCATTTAACAATGGTAGTTTAATAGCAACTTAACGTAAGTATTAAAGGAAAAAAAATGTTCACAATTAACGATTTGCATCCCCCACAGGCATTAAGGCAAGTTGCTGGCAATGCATGAACACAAAAGGTAACAAACCCTTTTAGGCAAATGACACCGAATCTGGAAAGGAGACACATCGAATTTGAGTTTTCTAGAATCTCACATAAATAGCCTTTGTTTGTAAGAATGGCTCCAGAAAATAATTACGCTGCTGGCAGTGGGGAAGACATTGAGAGACTAACTTTAGAACTATAATCTGATTCCGAATTAGTTAACAAATCATCTCACCGAGGAACAGCAGCTCATGCTAAGACAGCTGTTCTGGAAGTTCTGTCCCGGGAATCATGCCCTCAGCCCACACATTTACTGCACATACACGGTTTACTGTCTGGTTTCATTCATGCCCATCTGTTAGAAGGGAACGGTTCCTGCCCTAGAGTGAAGTAAAGCCTTGCCACATGACAGCTGCGAAGTAGAGAGTCTGGGAGTCGGTCAGACCACTGCGGAAGTGGCAGTCAGTCCAGGAGCCTGCACTGAAGCAATGGTGGGTCCTGGTACTGCTGCCGTTACTGTTTTGTGGGTTAGCCTGATTCAAATTACATTTACTCTAAAGGATCCTTGCTTTGCAGACGTATTCAATGCAAAGATATGCAAATTCTGCAATATGAAATAAATAAGAGAAAAACACTGGAAAATGTCAGCACAAAGGAAAGAAGACAGAAAAAAATACGTATGACTTGAGCGCTTTTACTCAAACAAGAATTATCCCTCCTCACCACTGAACATATATTTGCTGGGAAAATAAAAAGGTATAAAAATTTAGTCCTAGATCCCCCCAAATTTACGTTTCAAAGAAACAACAATGCATTTTTTTTTAAAAGGAAAATGACTGTTCAAGAAATGGTGGCATCGAAAGGAAGGGATACCTCAACTACCCTGGAGTGTGCTCCTAATTCATCTTGTCTTCCTCCAACCCATCTTCCTCATTCATTCCTTCAATACTTTTGAGCACCAACAAGTGACAAGTATTCTTCTAGGTGCTTGGGGATTCAGCAAGGGGGGAAAAAGCCAGACAAAAAATCCCTGCCTTCATGGACTTTATATCTGGAGTACACAGTATTTCAGACAGCTGTGGGTGCTACGGAGAAAAGTAAAGCAGGGATGGGGGTAGTGTTGTGGTTTTAACGGTGGACAGGATGGGCTCCATTGACGAAGTGACAGCTGAACACAGACTTGAAGAGATGTGACCGTGAGCCCTGTGACCGTCTGAAGGGAAAGCCTGCTGGGCAGACACGTTAGTCCTGAAGAGCAGTGAGGAAGGAGGGTAGCCTGAGGGGGGGAAGAAGGAAGGGCAGTTAATAAGGTCAGAGAGGCAGCGGGTGGCAGCAGAGTCAGAGGGGCAACGTAGGACCCTGT